GAGATACAGAATCTGAAACAGGCTCCAGGCTCTGAGCTGGCTGTCAGCACAGAGCCTGATGCGGGGCTCAAACCCACAAACCATGAGATCGTGACCTGAGCAGAAGTCAGACGCTTAACCAACTGAGCCACCCAGGCACCCCCAAGGCTTAGTCTTTTAAAACAGAAGACTTTCCAGGGCACCTGGGTGGCTTAGTTGGTTAAGCATCTGACTCTTGATTTTGGCTCAGGTCATGATCTCATGGTTTGTAGGTTCGAGCCCCATGTCTGGCTCTGTGTTGACAGCTCGTAGCCTGGAGCCTGCTTCAGATTCTGCATCTCCCTCTCTTTCTGCCCCTCTCCTGCTTGTGCTTTCTCTCTCTCTCAAAAATAAACATTTAAAAAAATTAAACAAAACAGGAGACATCCTTATCTGTCCAGTAAGAGAGGGAGAAAGAAGGGAGAAAGACTGGTTGGACTTTAGTGGGACCTCCTGGTTTCTCCAGTCTTCCCAACACATGTTTGCACTTGCCATTAGTAGTGACTCCATGGCCCTGCCATCATGGCATGTGGAGGGTCCGGGATCTTTCTCTTGTGTGCAGGTCTGTTTCTTTGACTAAACCCATTTCCACAGCACCACTTTGAGCTGCAGTGTTTGGTAAAATATATTCCAGATGGTGCTGGAAGTAGTTGCAGCTTGCCACTCTGTCCCAATCTACTTTGTCTTTCTGAAAGGCCAGCTGTCAGGATCTACTAACTCCACCCTTTGACCATCCCTGGTGGTCTAAGACTTAGACTCAGCATTGTGGGGACAAGGTCTGTTGTTTCTCTTGCCTTGGAATTATAAACTAACTCTCTTGCTATTGTGAACTATTGGACAGAAGGGGGACGGGGAGAGGGAAGGCCATTAGATGCTCTCAGCTACATCCTCAGAACTTTTACATAATCAGAGAAGCTATACTGCCAGAGAACTGTCAGGAAGGCTGTCTTTATGCAGATGGAAGTTCATATTCACCTCGAAAGCAGAGGAGAAAGAGAGCTCTACAGTCTAGGTTCCTTCACCCTGGCCCCTCCATACCTTGGCTTTGTGGAAGGTATTTGATCTCCCCTCCTCCTCACATAAGACTTTCTTGGGGACCCTGGGTGGCTCAATGGGTTAAGCGGCCGCTTCTTGATCTCAGCTCAGGTCATGATCTCATGGTTCCTGAACTTGAGCTGGGTTCTGTGGTGATGGCTCAGAGCCTGCTAAGGATTCTGTCTCGCCTTCCCTCTGCCCCTCCCCCGCTTGTTCTCTCTCTCTCTCAAAATAAATAAATAAATAAACTTAAAAAAAAAACCACCTTTTCTCTTGGTCTAGGTCCATTTCCTTTCCCCCACCTGACTAGAAAGTGAAAGTGTGAGCTGAGCATTATAGTTCCCTGGGTCCAAACCCCTGAAGGGAGAACCCAACATCAAAGACTCCTGCCTTGGTGGACCCACGGCACTCTATTATTATTATTTTTTTAAACTAAGCTCTACGTCCAATATGGGGTTCAAACTGACAACCCTGAGATCAAGAGTCACATGCTTTACCAGCTGAGCCAGACAGGTGCCCCTCACAGCACGCTATTCTGATTCCATCAGAAAGAACTTGTCTTTACCTACTCCTAGGCTCTTTACCCTCCATCTGGGCAGGGACAGAGCTTTATCTGTCTTTGCATGCCCGATGGGCCCCACAGGACAAACATGAAGGACCCTGATGTGCTCCTTCCATCCATGCCTCCCTTTCTTTGAGGTTACCCCAGACCTCACTCCGCTCCAGGTGCTTGGAAGATGATGGACAGCAGACTCCTTGGGTGACGCTCTGGTGTGTCACGAGTAGCGTCTTCCCAACAGTGGAGACTTCACCAGCCTCGTCCTGTCTCGCCTTAGCAATCCTCTGAGGAGGAGGAGGCTGCTTCTCAGCCAGTCCCAAAGCCTGATTTGGGGGTAGGGAGAAGTGAAGCCATAGATCACATGCCTCCCTCACCAGTTCTGGCTGCAGCCCAGCTTCTCTTTAGCGTCTCCTTCCCCGCTTGACTCCAGCCCACAAATCCCTGCCTTGTTCCTTCCAACCAGCACTCAGCCCCAGGGATGGCTCTGCAGGATGTGTGCAAGTGGCAGGCCCCCAACACCCAGGGACCATCGCCTCACCTGCCTCAGGCTGGCGCCTGGGCTGTGCCCCGAGGCTGCGATCCTCAAACCTTCCTGCAGATCCACGGCCCCAGGCTGGCCCACGGCACCACCACCTTGGCCTTCCGCTTCCGGCATGGAGTCATCGCCGCTGCGGACACACGTTCTTCCTGCGGCAACTATGTGGCATGCCCAGCCTCACGCAAGATCATCCCTGTGCACCAGCACCTCCTGGGCACCACCTCCGGCACCTCGGCCGACTGTGCCATATGGTACCGCGTGCTACAGCGGGAGCTGCGGCTTCGGGCACTGAGGGAGGGCCAGCTGCCCAGTGTGGCCGGTGCCGCCAAGCTCTTGTCAACCATGATGTCCTGCTACCGGGGCCTGGATCTGTGTGTGGCCACTGCCCTGTGTGGCTGGGACCGCTCTGGCCCTGTCCTCTTCTATGTCTACAGTGACGGCACCCGCCTGCAAGGGAACATCTTCTCGGTGGGCTCTGGATCTCCCTATGCCTACGGCGTGCTAGACCGCGGCTACCGCTATGACATGACCCCCCAGGAAGCCTATGCCCTGGCTCGTTGTGCCGTGGCCCATGCCACCCACCGCGATGCCTACTCCGGGGGTTCTGTAGACCTTTTCCACGTGCGGGAGACTGGCTGGGAGTATGTGTCGCGGGACGATGCCTGTGTGCTGTACTCGGACCTGCAGAAGCTTCCGGAGCCAGACAAGGAAGAGGAGGAGGAGGCCAGCAGGGCCCATCCTGAGCCTGCCAGCCCGTACAGAGACTCCAGGCTGCCCGCAGAGACTGAGAGGCTGTGAGAAGTGGCAGGACTTGGAGGGGGCCTAGGCCAAGGGAGTGGGGGGGTGGGATGGGCCACCAGAGGAGCAGCCTCACAGCATCTGGCTCCAGCCTCTATGGCTTGCCAGCTCTATTTGTTCCAAGTCTCCATCCCTTTCTGCCTCCCAGTGCTATTGATGGCTCTGTCCAACCTGCTCCTGTGGACGCTGGATACACCGGTCCGGCCTCCTCCCCACCACCGCGTTCTCTCAGCAAATATTCCTGTCATGTGCCTGCTGCACGCCAGATATAGGGCTGGGTGCTAGACCCTCTTTGCTGCTTTCCCCCACCAGATCCCTGCTCTCTTTTGTTCCCTTTCCTGTCCTTATTTCAGTTTCAGAGTCTTTATCACTGTCACCTTGTGAGGGGGGCGGCTGGGAGCGGAATAAGGAGGGGAGAGTCACCCAGAGCGCCGTGGCTAGGGGCCAGGCCGGCAGTGTGGACCCTGTGATGGTGAGGGGGGCTTCTCCCAGCTGTTCACCCCTTTGCCCCCTCCCCCGCCCCAAGGGACTCTAATGACTACAGTTGCTGCTCCTTGTTGAATGCCCCTCTCATGACAACACTGAGATAATAATTATTCTCACCTGACAGAAGAGGAAAACAGGTTCAAAGGGTTCTGTGACTTGCTGGGGTCACACAGTAAGTGGCAGAGATGAGGCTTGGATCCAGGCCTTCTGTTCCAGAGCTGAGCTCCTTCGGCACAGTGCGTCCTCCATGGTCCTCTTTCTTGCCTTCCCTCTCTGTCCAGGGCCCTGCAGGCCTGGTGGGGGATGGATGGGTGGGGTGGGGGGGGAGGGGAATGGGAGAGAGTAGCTAGGCCAAGCCCCTGCCTGGGGTGAGTGAACCCAGAGGAGCCTCAGGGGCTGGAGGGCAGCCACCCCCATGACCCACCAGGGCCTGGAGCCTTGGTCACTGTTTGCTCCGGTCTTTCAGCCTGTGTCTGCTGTTGCCAGACTTCTCTCCTCTTTCCCCTTTCTCCTTTCTTCCCCTTTCTCCTTTGCCTTCTTTCCAGCCTCTTCTTCCTGTCTCTCCCTCCGGTGAATGAAGAAAAAAGCCAGGTGGCTGTGCCAGTGGGAACATTGGGTCAGCTCATCTTCTCCTGCCCTTCCTGCCCCTCCCCGAGCTCCCCTGTAAGCCCTGGTGTGGTGGGGCAGGCTCCCAGGCCCAGGGAGGCTGCTGCCCCTGCCCTGCCCCTCCCCAGGCAAAGCTGAAGTTGGGTGGGTAGGAAGCCCAGTCAACCAAGAGATGGGAATGCCTGGAGGGAAGGCTGCTGAACCTTCTTTCATCCCACTCCCGCAGAGTGCCCAGTCTCAAGATCAACAGCCCCATTTCCTCCCTCCTGGACGCCCCTCCTCTCAGCCTCCAGCCCAGCCCTGAGCCCTAAGCCCCAACCCTGCACGTGCTGGTAAGAACTCCTCGTGGGCTGGAGCTGCCCAGACGGAGGAGACCTTCAGGCTCTGGCCTTCAGGGCATGATTAGGGAGGAAGGAAGAAAGGCCAGAGGGTCTCAGGAAGGAAAGCAGTGGAGGCAGAGGGAGGAAAAGGTGGTGGGAACCTCTGATTCAAGCATTTGATTGACTCAGGCATCAGAGGATGCATCTCCAAGTGCAGAGATTTTTGTGGACTGCGCCCTGGTGTGAGTGAGTGACCCAGTAGAGGTGTGTGCCCCTGCGTGTGGTAGGTGATGCACGTGCGGTTCCTGTGCACGGAGCCAGGAAACGGACTGGAAGAGAAAAGAAACACTGACACCTGGATAGGGAGGGTGAGCCCTCCTCGGAGAGAAAGCCCAGCCTTGTCACTTATTTTGGAAAAATGGTCCAAAGCAGAGAGGAAGTGGGGGCAGAGCTCATCCCACTAGTTCACCATCTCTGCGTCTTCACAGCCCTATCCTAAAGCCCCAGGAATGAGAAAAAGTGTGTATGTCTGTGTGGGTGGCTAGCAGCTCACGGGGTGGGGGTGGGGGGCTGAGCCCAGCTAAGGCTAAAAACTGCCTGCGTCTTACTCCCCTGGGACCCTGGGATGCTCTGCACTCCTCCCCTCCCCATAAACAGGGGAAGGACTGAACCCGGCTAGAGAGGGCAGAATAGGAGGGGAACCCCTTCTTCTCACCTTGCCCCTCTCTCCCTTCTTTCCTTCCACAGTCCTGCCCTTCTTCACTCCCTTTAATAAGATCCTGTCCTTATAGATGATGAGGTATTTGAGACCAGAGATGACCTCAGAGGTCTTGCTGACAAGCCTGCTTCCCTGTGCCCTGTTTTTCCCTCTAAGTTTAATGGGATCCGGGCAGACCTGGGGAAGCTGGGAGGGAGGGACAGGAGAGCAGGCAAAGGCCCGTGTCCCACTTCAGTGCACCCTTCACCACCGAGGAACAGAACACAAGTCAGTCCTTCCCCCCCCCCCCCCCCACTTATTCCTGAAGGCCTGATGCAGATGTCCAGGTGGGGCCAAAGGGACAGAGAGCTTGCGCATCCTGCCCTGAACTGGAAAAGCCTGTCCCTTTGACACCATGCTTGGGGTGCTGCCTCTTAAGCGTCTACTTCAGGGACAGCCAGCCTGTTCTCGCACAGGCCTTTGGCCAGTCAGGGGTCCAGTTCCACCCTTCAGCAGAGTAGATGACAAGTCCAGCCCTGGGGGAAGGGGTCCTGTTCTCCTGCCACCTAGTTGCCCTAAGCAAGCAGCGTGAAAGGTGTGAGGAGCTCCTGCGTGGCTCGGTTGGTTAAGCGTCTGACTCTTGATTTCAGCTAAGGTCATGATCTCATGGTTTGTGAGTTTGAGCCTCGAGTAGGGCTCTGTGCCGACAGTGTAGAGCCTGGTTGGGATTCTCTCTCCTTCTCCCTCTGCCCTCCCTTGCTCGTGCTCTCTCTCTCTCAAAATAAATGAATAAACAACAAAAAGTGTGAGTGAGAGACGGAATCTTCTCATAGGAGTAGCTTCCCCTGATGGCCAGCACCTCACACTTGGGGGAGCGGGGGTCACAAGGACCTGTCCTGACCCATCTACTTGCATCTCCAGGAGCCCTGACTGGAACTAGGACCTCCTTTGTCTGCTCAGGGAGTGCACACTGAGAAATGATGGCCCTCTGCTCAGCTCCCACCCTAACAGACTTTGATTTGGCCAGCTGGCCCCTCGATAGCTCACTTCCCTCACCCCTCTCCCTCCTCCTTTGTGTTCCATGGAGAGCAAGATGAGGACTGGAGAGGGGCGCCCGGGTGGCTTAGTCGGTTAAGCGTCCGACTTTCGCTTAGGTCATGATCTCACGGTTCGTGGGTTCGAGCCCCGCGTCAGGCTCTGTGCTGACTGCCAGCTCAGAGCCTGGAGCCTGTTTCAGTCTGTGACTCCCTCTCTCTCTGACCCTCCCCTGCTCACGCTCTCTCTCTCTCTCTCTCCT